CAATATTTATTTTTAAAGAAATTATATGCTAAGGATTAATATACACACAACCACATCCTCGAATTGCGTCCTTGTAATTGTAATAGCTTAAAAAAATAAAAATTTATCAAAAGTGCATCTTTTTCAATATTCGTGAAATCAAAAACTTATTTTTTTAATTTTACAGCATTTTTTTACGGACCGACAAAAAGTATGATCGAAAGTAAATGTTGTTCTCCCAGTTTGGTTCCCAAGAACGCTCAAAAACCCGAGCAAAACTGTGGAGAACGTTCTCGACGGGAATTATATAGGAACAAAATCCTATGGAATAATCCCAAAGAGAGCGAAAAATGCTTTCGGAAAAATGTTTAGGAGCACAAAATGGGAACTAAAGTCTCAGTTCTTCCTGGCCTAGAACGAAACGGCAACAAATCTTCTTCGAAATATTCGCGAAGAAAGGAGGCGTGAACAAAACTTTTCTCATAGCGTTACATTAGTTTGAAATGTGCTAATATTAAAATTAATCAAAAAACCGTAAAGATACGTATGAAAATTAAGTCAACGAAAGACTTAAGATACAAACTTTTCTTGCACAGAATATGAAAATTATTCCAGGACAGTTCACCCAATGATTAACGATTTGGCGGTTGAAACGATCCACCTTTTCTTTGGCTTAAAATTAAGAACTATTGTTCTCGATGAAACGATTTTTCATCATAACCGTAGACGCCCCTCTTAGTGTTAAGTTATCAAAACTTCTTCTCGTTTTATTCTATGGAAAAACTTTCCCTAGACTTTTATTCTTACTTCATCTTCTTTGAAAACGTTATCGGTACTTTCGTTCTCATTGGAATGATTCCCGAAAGTTTCTTTCTCTTTCTGTTCTTTTCGAGAACGTTCTTGAGAGTTTGGTTCGCATTTGGTTCTTTACGGATACGTTGCCGAGCCTTTTGTTTCGCGTTCAAACTGCTCTCAATACTTTTGCTCCCATTTAGTTCTTTTAGGGGGAACGGTCTTGACATAAAATTTCGTTCTCGTGTAAAACTAAACCATAATCAGAGCGCGTTCTCGGTCCCTGGAATTTTTACGTTCATTTAGTTGTAAATATGGTTATTCAACATAGCGCTGAGTTTTTTTTTAGTAATTTTTTTATTTATTAATATTTTTGAAATTTCCAAGTCCTTCTAAAAACGTTTCTGACATCAGAGGAAAACGAAAAGCACACTTTTGCTATATTTGATCCATAGTTTCCTGACTATATTTATTGTTTCGTGTATCTCGATTTTTTATTTTTTTGTTTTGTTTTCGCCGTACGGTGTAGTATACGAGTATTGTAATATGTTTTCAATATATTTTCCGCAGCCTGGTCACTGGTACCGTCGCCTTGGCCTTTTCTGCAGCCGGTGTGCTACTATCAGGTTTTGTAATATCGCGCTATAAGCCACGCGCACGTTATATGGCCGCTTGGAATGTAATCGTTGGATTCCTGACCGTGGCTGGCATCCTGGCTTATGCTTTTATCGGTTGTCCAGGCAATGAGCAGTCGGTGATTGTCAACATACACGACAGGTAACTAATATACATACAAAGAACTGCATGCGAACGCAGACAATATACTCGCAAATATTGTGAATATTTTATGTTGCCACTGATATTTATTTATCCAAACACTAGCGCCCTCAATAGCACTCCCACTTGTAATTCGAATTGTAACTGTGATTATGTGCGTTACTCACCGGTTTGCGGGGAAAACAATATGACTTATATATCGCCTTGTCATGCGGGCTGCAAGAAGCAATATAAAACTGCCAATGGGCGAAAGGTAAGTGCGATTTCTTTGTATTGATTCACAATTTTTTCTAAATGGTATACATAAGTAAATTTTTGTTTTATTAATTTGCAGATTTACTATGACTGTTCTTGTATACCTAACAACAGCTTTAATAAAAGTTCGAAACCATTCTTTAAACGTCTCACTGTGATGGATCTGAAATCAGAGAACTACGATAATGATGACGGCAATATTACGACTACTATAAGGCCAGAATTGCCAATCACAACGTTGGATAAAGCATTACCGACATCACTTAGCACAGCTTATACAGATGTGAGTTAACAATATTAGTGCCGAAGTGCCGCTACCTTTGCTAGGGAGCGCTGACTCTAATGTTTGATTTACTTAGGGCAGTTTGTTCAATGTGTGGCTGTCACTACCTGCCAGTTAAACATCTTTATCGACCTTTTCAAAATCTTGCATATAAAATGTGATCGATAAAGCAGTCATTGTATTTAACCGAAGCTTCGACCTCCGATTTGAACAACCGGCCCTTAGGCAGGTGAACTATATGAAATCTTCGTCTTCACCTCGATAGCTTCTGCAGGAAAAACTTGTTGACATAATTGCATACATATCTATATATGCCTGGGAGTACTGATACCATACATAATACGACGATAGCGGTAGAACCCTAACTGCGGATTTTTTAAAGTTTCAGGTATTTGATGTCTATTCCAGCTTTCCCCAATTATTCAGTCTGATATTTTAAGTATTCTGAAGACATCCGATGTAAGACCTGTTAGAAAACCTGAATTCGAGAATAAACATTTTAAACAGTTCGATTGTAATGTTAACCTTATGGGGAAACCAAAATATGTTCGTCTATAACTTTTGAAATAGGCTAGCTGGCGGGCATATATTGCTTATGACCACAGATATATTTGTAATTTCTGGAGCTAAAAAGTGCTAAATGATTTCGAAATAGCTAAAAAAGAGCTAGGAGCTAAGCCCCAAGTTTCGGAGCTGAATAGAAAAATAAAGAGCTAAATCTAGTTCCCAAAGCGCCAAAATGGTAACAATGTTGCCATCCGCACAGGCCTGCACGTCGAAGATATTTTCACTAATAAGGCAGAGTAGCTCCCCTGCTACGATGGACCATAGCAGAGGGGAGATCACGCCCCTCTTTCGTTTCTAAGAATCTTACATTTTCCTGTCCTTGAGTGGATGTAATGGTGCTGGATTGAAGGATGCTTGCTATCCAGCGGCTTGTGGTTTCATCAACCCCTTCCCGCCGGACGTCATTGTCTATTAGAGAGTGTTTTGTGCTAACGAATACGCCCCCCAAGTACAAGAAACATCCCAGCGCTACTACTTCGTCCTACAAAAGACTTCTCAATTTTCCTTGTTAGAAACTGAAGAGTGTGGATAGTATGTCTTACTAGAAGATGGGAATTTTAGTATCTATGCAAAGGGTTCTCGGTAAGGAAACTATCCCTGATATGCCTGTCTACGATTCTCTGCATTGTTCTTAGTAGAATGGATGTAAGTCGATATGACTTTTGTTGGTCTGCTGGTTTCCCCCCTCCTTTGGTTTGTAATGGACTGTCCTTTCCTGCCACTGTAGTAGATGGGACCCCCACGAAAAACATGCTCCGAAAAGCGGTATCAGAAAAGGTAGCCAGTGAGGGAGTCTCTTTTGAAGATGAGCTGCGAAAATTCTTTATGCTCCATGTGATGCTCCAGGTGCTTTCGTAGGAGCTAAGGCAGATATAGCGCATTTTATTCTATCCTCGTCGAACCGTCCTTTGACGATTCTTCTTTGTCTTGCCATTAGTGCAAGTTCTTGAAACACCTCGCTCATTATACGATTTTGGTAACCACATCCAACAACAATAGTTGTATTGTTAATACTTATTCCTTAATATTTTTTGAATTTTTCTTTTCTCTTCCAGGCTCTTCTCGGTGGTCAGGCGATAACCGGCGCATGTCCTGTCAATTGTTTTGCTCAATTTGTCACATTTCTCTCGGTGATGTGTTGCCTCAAATTTGTTGGCGCCACAGGACGTGCCTCAAATTTTCTCGTGTCCGTACGTTGCGTGCCTGAGAAGGATAAAACGGCAGCAATGGGTTTCGGTATGATGATGATGTCCATGCTAGCATTTATACCAAGTCCCATATTCTTCGGCTGGGTATTAGACCGTATTTGCCTTGTGTGGGGTAAAACGTGTACAAATAAGGGCAATTGTTGGCTTTATGACCCAGAATCACTGAGGTAAGAACAAAATGAGAATTGGCTTTATACGCCAAATGAAAATCTACTATAATTACGAATTACTTTTAGATACACACTCAATATAACCGCTTCAGTATTTGTTGCGATAGGAGCCTTATTCGATTGGGGTGTCTGGTATTATGTGAAAGATCTGAAAATCTTCGATGAGGAGGTGAAGGAGGTTGAAATGAAAATTGTACAGCATGAAGAAGAAGTTAATTCCATTAAGGATTTAGAAGCATAATTTTTATAAATCTTAAATATATTCAGTCGCAGTTTTTATTGTAAGACATTTTATTATGTGCGTGTGTCTGAGTTTGAGTGCCCGTTTGAAAGTATGTAACTGTGCCAAATTTAGTCTAATAACGAAATTTATGTAAATATGAAAGCCAATGTTTACTGTATAATTGTATGTATGTATATGTAGCTATTAGATTGATAAGAGTAAAATAGGTTCATAGTTATTTTTGTAAATAAAATCATTTGAAATTATGCTAATTTACCAAAGTTATAGTCAACATGTTTACACGCAGATAAAGGTCTGTTTATGTGTATGTATATTGTGCTTTGTTATAATGTTTGTTAGGAAAAGTACTGTATACTAAATATTTTGATTGTAAATACTACAAACGAATTTTCAGTATGTACGCCATTGCTTAAGAAGAAAGTATTAATAGCTACGATTTATGTACATATGTATGTATTAACACATAAGATTAGAATATATATAGGTTAAATATGTACCTCTTAATTTACAAATCGTTATTCTAATAAAGCGAGGTGTAACTTACATTATTTTCACACACAATTTGAAATAATTAAAAAAAAAAATGTCTGCAGCTATTAGCAAACTGCAGGCTTTAATAAAATTTTCCATTTAAAAAAAAATCAAAATTAAATAATTTTACTTTTTATTATGTTTGGAAATACATTTTGAAGAAAGAACAATTTTAAATGTAATTTCTATTTTAATGTAACGATATTTAGTACGATTATGATTATATTAAGGTGTATCACATAATAAAATTTATTAAATTTTAACACAATTTACTTGAATCTTTTTACGCTTGCTTTTAATTAGTATGTTCGACAACCCGAAAGTTGTTAATAATTACTACAAACTATAAGGATTTGGCGTTCGCGTGCGCAGGCGAATTGAGAGAGCAAAGTGACAGTTCATTTGGAGGGAAAGTAATAGAAAATTGTTTACTATTTGAAAATTTGCCACCAAGAGAAAACAGCTGATCAAGCTCTTCTGTCTGCAATCTGATAATTTTTAAGTTTAAAAAATTTGTGGAAAAATCTGGCCTAAAAACTATCGGATGTACCCAAAAAATTAGTAGTTACACTTCGGCATATATACGGATGGGACATTCGAATTCATATCCAAACAAATAAAAATGTGAAATCAAAAACTAATAACGCAGGAGTATTTTTAATCTTTGGAGAGGACTGAGGACTTTTCGTGGCAAAGGAGGACTATCCTCACGAAAGGAGGACGGTTAGCGAGCCTAGTTGTCACACAAACAGGATTTTTGCTAAACACTTTTTCAGCTTCATCTGCCATTAATGGACACTTAACACGAAAGTAGGAAGTAAACAATAATGGATCTGCAGTTGTAGCTAAGCTGCTCCAAAGGCCCTGGAAACTGCTCGAACCTCTTCAAAGTTAGTCCAGGAATGTAAGTTGAGGCTAAACTCCGTTACAAGATGGAATGAGCTTGAACTTGTATGGGTGCCAGGACACTACGGTGTTCAAGGTAACGAACTGGCTGATGAATTGGCGAACTGCGGTTCTCTGGAGCGCCCATTTGGACCGGAGCCAATTGTAGGGCTAAGCATAGCGGGAACGATCCGGTGNAACTCCGTTACAAGATGGAATGAGCTTGAACTTGTATGGGTGCCAGGACACTACGGTGTTCAAGGTAACGAACTGGCTGATGAATTGGCGAACTGCGGTTCTCTGGAGCGCCCATTTGGACCGGAGCCAATTGTAGGGCTAAGCATAGCGGGAACGATCCGGTGCATCAAGGATCTCATAAGCAAAACTCATGAGAGCCATTGGTGCACTATTGACACCTCCAAAATGACCAGGTGTTTCCTGAAAAGGCCTGACAGGGTGGTAGCTAAATTTCTTCTCAGACAAAGAAGGAGTGATCTACGACCCCTGGTAGGACTTATTACGGGGCACAATCCATGGGGACGACATATGGTCACCATAGGCATCATCGACGATCCACTGTGTACATCGTGTTTGGAGAACGAGGATAGTACAGAACATTTTCTCTGCCGCTGTCCGTCCTTCGCCAGACTCACATTTTTTGGTCGGGTGTATATACTGAGAATGGACGACGTACATTCTCTTTCCCTCAACAAATTACTAAAATTCACAATGGAGTCTGGTAAATTTGTAGAGGAGTAATGAACTCCCACCCCCACCTGCATATCCCTTTCCTCTAAATCCTGTTTCTTGGCCTTAAGTACAATGGAAAATACTGGAAAAATTTGTTTTTGGTTGTTCCGGCCACCCACAATTCCATTCCATTCTAAAAAAAAAGGTTACTTTTTTTTTGTGCACACGCCTTAGTACAAGACGACTTCAAACACAAATCTTGCCTCCTGGATGATTGGTCGGTTGAAGTGGCGAGTTTAACAACTCCATTTAGCACTTATGCGTGCCTCTACTTTAGTATTTGAAATAAATCCGGACACTTTTTCGACGATTTTTTAATTGGTTAAATAAACCCCTGCCAAAACTAACCAAAACCCGTTATTGAAAATGTCAGTTAGAGGTGAAAGTGTTCCACAAAAATATTAAGCAGTAAATTTCACTAACGATCATTGCCACGGCAGCCGTTTCTACGTACCAGAATAACTCGGGTTTTACCCGACCAAGGGCTGTTGTTTCGGCGATCTAACCCCGTTTAGGTTGGCGAAATATCTCAAGCGTTGTGCGCCCATGGAGCTGTATCTGCTACGAACTCTTCTACTCAGGGCTAGCATCGAGTCAAACCCTGGCCGAGAAACTTACCCCTGCTGCGTGAAATACTGGAGTGCAACGGATGGAGTCTGCTCAGGCCTAAGGACTCACCGGCAGTGGACCGCAACATACGTGGCCCCCTGCTGTTCAAACAGAGCTTCCTCCATGGCACTCCCAAGTCCACTTGATCAGCTCAATGCAAACACAACCGCACCACAACAGAAATAACCCCACCACCACCCACACTCCGCCACCAACAACTCCTGGTTCCTCCAAACATCTGCATATGTGTGTCAGACCAGGATATTCCTTAACGTCACATCAGTCAAGTTCAACACCTGCCTTGGCTGGTGTCACTTTAGGGCATGTTCAGGTCTGCGCTCCACGCGAAATGGACAAAGAACTTCGAGGGCCCGTACTGCGCTTCCATAGTCATCACTATTGATAAACCAGCGGACTTTTATTCCGCGGAACATCGAACCTAAGTACGTCAACTTTTCTAAGGCTGATTGGAAAGGCTTCTCTGCCCTCCCCACACCAACAGACGTTCACGTAAGTGAGTGTATGTATGTAAGTTCCGCAGGGTTGTCACTGCTGGTGAAGCTCGATTCATCTCAGCCGGACACCCGTCCGACCTTTCCTGCTGAAGCGGCTGTTCTAACCGATGATGGGGATAACCTTCGCCAGGCCGATGACGGAAATCAAATCTCCACATTAGGAATCTCAATATGGAAGAGCACCAGAAGACTTACAACTTCACCTCTAGTATGAGTAAGCTTTGGTCAGCCGTGAGGTCACTATCCAACTCGATTCGGATCCGGAGCGATGCGCGAGCTATTTTAGCCGACAATTCACGCTGGATCCTCCATGGCCACGTGGCCTAACCCGCAACAGTCCTTTGGGAGAATAGTCCTCGTAGCGTTAGATCTGTCAAAGGCGTTTGACAACGTTGGTCACTCCACGCTACTACAAGACATAGAGGGCTCAAACGGTGGTCGGAGAATTATCTGACTGTCTAAGTTTAATATTTCCAAGCTCCTCCAACCACATGATAATAGCGTCCGGGAATGGAATTGATGACTTATGCTCGAAAGTAAACGGTTACCTCTACGAGCTTTCTCGCTTCTTCACTGCAATGAGCCTGACGTTATCCCCCACAAAATCTTCAGCAAACCCTTTTCATCAAGTGGGCGAAGGAGGTCAGCAACTGGGTATTTACCACAATTGTCAATAAAGTACAGAGCTGCAACAAAGTCCTAGAGTCGCTAGCCGGCAGCACCTGAGGCATTTACATGACGAGGTGCAGATGCTCCCCATTAGGGAGCACAACACATTGCCTAGCAAGCAATACTCAATAGACGTGAGAACCCGAACAGACAGACAGACTGACAGACGAAGTTCTGAGGTTCATAAAGCAACCTCTGGATCCGACAGCATATCGACAGGCCATGAGCGGCATACACAGGCAGTCAGTCTCAAGTTACGTACAGTCCAGACCTGTGAATGCCGTTCTGGGCACACAACCACCTGACGTGGACGAGACAGAGCTTCGTTTGTTTCGGGAGACTCGAACAACAATAGCCCAACTTCGCTCTGGCTACTGCAGCAGGTTTAACTCGTACCTATGCAGACTCGATGCAGATGTGTCCATCTCTTCGCATGCCCACTAAATTTCACTCAACTTTATTTATACATATGAATGTACTTAGTTTATATAATTTGTCATGAAAGCATACGCATGAAGATTAACAAGTAATGAAGTAATTAAAAGTAGATTTGTTTAAAAATAAAACCAATCTGTACTCCATTTTCAACTGCAAAACGGAATTTAAGATAATGCACCATTTACTAAATGCAAATAAATATATCGTAAAAGACGATAAGTGAAACGTATGTAGGTATTTGAGATATCAAATTGGCAGTTACTCACGGCAGCAGTGCACATTCAGACTACGCTTACTTGTCATTTGATTCTTTCAGTTCTAAAATGGTGCAGCTTGAAGCGAAAATAATGAACTCAGAGGTTCACGGAGAGAGTGATGTGGAATCAACATTGTTGGCAGAGACCAATCTTAAACCGTCGCCTAACGAAGAGAAGGCACCGAAGAAGTTAAAGAATGTGGAGGAGAGTGGCAACAAAACAGAAATCAATGCAATTCTACGCGATATGGCCATAACCGAGGATGTGCGTTGTGGTTTTTGGATATTTAAAGGTTCATGTGTTCAAAGGCAAGCGCAAAATTCATATTTTATAAATCTAACTGGTGACTAGAGTGTATGAGTGGACATATGTAT